CCTAAGGTTAACCAACCCCCCTTCTAACCTCCCCCAGAGACTCTGCACTAAGGTTAACCACAGTGACATAATGCCTGAGACTAACCACTATCTGACCTGGACACAAACAAACAAACAAACCCCCCCCACCCCCACCCCCCCACTTCTCTTCTTATCGCAGGGACTTGTGCTCGGTGCTTGACGGGACTGGGTGTGGACTGGCTCTGGGACCGACGCAGCGATGGAGCGTGCATTTAAGATCTGGCGCCTTCGGCGCCAGATCTTTCAATTTTCTTTGTCCTAACCTGCCAGTGCCTCCTGGACTGATCCCCCTGCTGCTCCACACACCTGTACCTGGACACACTGGTACTTACCTGCAGGAGAGGACCCAAAAGGGGATTTAACTGAAGGAATACTTACCTGGTAAAATATCAACTTGTTTATTTCTATATGTGGTAAATAAAACTCATTCATAGTGTTTTTTTACAAAGGGGCTTACTACAAAATTAACATGAAGTAATTTCCTAAAAATGAAATAATTTATCAACTAAAGTGTTTTTTCTTTCCCTTTTAAAGACCAAAATTAGAATAAGATGGTACTGCTGCTAAACAAAATAATTTACTTCTAAAACACCAAAGAACTGTGCACCCCCTTGGATTAAGTTTCATCATCTGATGGTTTTTAACAAAAAGAGTTCGCTGTAAGATGTTTAAATACATTTTTTTATTTTCAGATAAAGAACTGACAAATACTGAGTGTTATAAAATGGATGTTTTTATTTTTTATCCTTTTGGGAGGATCTCCTGTCTTTTATTTCTATTTACTTCAAAACTCTGTATCCACTTGAGTAAAATGGAGACGGTTTTACTTTATATTAACTTTATATAATCTCCTGTATTTTATTTTTTTGTCTTGTAATTCAATTTGAATGAGAAACCTCAGTTAACATTGTTTGCATGATCTTTGAGGAAGATGCTTTTATTTTGTATCTTATTTTGAAGGAACTTCCTGTTTCATTTGTTTACTTCCGGCACTGGTTAGCCAAATATAAGCTAAGTGTACAATGGTTAATATGTCTACAATTACAGTCCCGCCTAAACGATGTATTGATTAAAAAACTTAACGTTAGGAGGGCAGGACTACTGAACGAGGGAGCCAATGGACTTCAAGTAGACTTAAATCGGCCTCCCTCGTTGGTTCAGACTGGTATGCTCTGACGTCACGACGGAGGGAATTGGACTGAACACATGTGCCTTTAGCTCAGTTCACTCTGCACGTC